CTATACTATACTCTGCAGCTAGCAGGTTCGAACCCAGCTTGGGCCTGCCAAACAACAATGACAACTACAACAAAAAAATAGCCAGGTGTTGTGGTGGGCACCTGTAGTCCCAGCTACTTGGGAGGCTGAGGCAAGAGAATCTCTTAAGCCCAAGAGTTTGAGGTTGCTGTAAGCTGTGTCACCACTCTACTGAGGGCGACATAGTGAGACTCTGTCTCAAATAATAATATTAATAATAATAATAGCTCCTTATGAGAAGACACTAAAACACTTTGTTTGCCATGGGCTTGCCAGTTTCCCTCCTCAGAGCCTTTGCAGATGCTGTTCCTTCTGCCTAGAATGCTATTCCACTAGCCTTGCATGGCTTTCTACTCCCTTTATTTTGCTGTATTTTTTTCAAAGCCCTTATTACTCCCCAACCCATCGTGTATTTTCTGCTTTGTTATTTCACAAGCATTTATTCAGCACCAAGGAAATGTCAGCAGCTCTCCTAGGGACAAGGGATACCTCAGTGAGCAGAGCACAGAGAACCCTATCCTCTCCGTGTCTCCCCCACTAGAAAGTGGCTCCAAGAGATAGGACAGTGTTTCCCTTTGTCACAGCTGCTTCCTTGGGGCTAGAAAGGAGCCAAGCAAGGGTTGTGCAAGAATATCAATTGAATGAAAGAACAGCACAAAACTGGTATTAGGGTGAGGAGAGTGAGGCAGCACTATTTTGTTCTTTGTGGATCTTTGGCATTCATTTTAGGTTTTCTGAAAAAAAAATTGTCTTAAGTTTGGGCACAATGGTTCATGCCTATAATCCCAGCACTATGGGAGTCTGAGGCCAGGAGGATTGCTTGAAGCCAGGAATTCAAGACCAGCCTGAGCAAGAATGAGATGCTATTTCTACTAAAAATAGAAAACTCATCCAGGCATAAGTTGGATAAGTTGGTGGGTGCTTGTAGTCCCAAGCTGAGGCAGGAGGATCACGTGAGCCCAGGTGTTCAAGGTTGCAGTGAGCTATGATTGCATCACTGCACTCCAGCGTGGGTGACAGAGTGAGATCCTGTCTCTAAAATAAATAAATATTGCATTAAAATATTATTTATCATAATTGCTGAGGTTTTTTGGTACCTCCTTAATTAAAATTTGCTCCCAAGGCGAGTGTCTCATTTTCCTCACCCTAATCCCTCCCCGGTTCCTGGCCCAGGATGTGCACTTAATAAAATGATGGTGTTTATTGGTTTTCCAAAGCCAGCTCTAGAATGACTGTGGTATGGTGGGTCACGCACCGTGTAGCTCATCTCAAGTTTCCACTTGCATGCCTGCAGGTCCCAGAGGCACAGCAATGCTTCCTCGGACCCACTGACCGCCAGCTGCTCCTTGTGGCTGACCTCCACGCAGGTGACCCGACTGCTGTGGGCCTCCAACGGGAACACTTTGGAATTCGCACACTCGTAAAGGAAGAGATCGCCATTGGTCATGCCGTAGACCACGCGGTAGTCAGCCAGCACGGCCACGCTGGATATGGTCTCAGGCAGTTGGGTGTAAAAGGTGTATTTTGGCCCATCAATGACTGGACAAGGGTCCCCAGGGCTGATGTCCAGTACTAGGACAATGTTGTCATAAGCAATGGCCAAACGGTCCTCACCCTTGCTCAAGGACATGCAGTTGATGGCTTTCCGGGTCTCAGGAGGGGGGATGCACATCACGTCCTGTCTGGAATTCAGGGGGAACACCAGGACGATCCCTGAAACAAGGCCCGTGAAAAGGAGCTTGAACTGTTCAGCGACCTCCAGACACCTGACCTCATTGGAAGTGTCCAGGACATCTTGTTCCTCACCTGCCAGGGGAGAAAACCATACCAAGAACTGATCATAGAGGCACTGATTCCCTAGTTTTCAATTTTTAAAAAATATATACATACATATATATATATAGAGAGAGAGAGAGAGAGAGAGAGAGAGAGATATTGAGACTTGCTTTGTTGTTTCTTGTCCAGGCTGGAGTACAGTGGTTTAATAATAGCTCTGTGAAGCCTCAAATTCTTGG